ACATGCTGGACACGTGGTCTGGAGAGGACCTGCTTAGCAAATGTGACACGAGGAGTCACGGCCCCACAGCTTGGGATTCAGTTTATAACAGGTCTTGGGACACCCTGGGCACCAGGGGTGGGCTCTCAGAACGAATCGCAGACCTACTGTGCTCAGTCAACTCCATGCCTTTCATCTTGGCCTCAGAATGTTACTTCGTTTGGAGAAAGGAGAGCCAAGGACACAAGAAGCAGACACAGCAACCCACAGCAAAAATCAGTCAATGTTACTGAGCAAGATCGAGCTCAACAGCCGCAAAAGAAAAATGCCACAAACAGAGTACAACTTCCCGACAATCCTTCTGCCACGTCTGTGTCCACAGCAACATCGCCCTCTGCTGCCAGTTACCAGGATCGCCACATGCCCCAGCAGAAGGCGAGGCACGTCCAGACCTGCGGCCTCCCTCCACTTCTGAGCTCTTACAAGGTACTACCCACTTCCAAGGGATACTCTCCTCATCACTGTCTTGATCTGCAGAACTTCACGTAGAGTATGACAGGAGGATGCCCCTGGACTGGTGCAAAGCGGCCCCCTACCTTGTTATGAGCAAAGAGATTAATGTATTGATCCAGGAAGGTAGGACCACAGTGCTAATCAGGGAAGCCATGAGCCCTGCCCCCGCCTCTGAACAGGGCTAGGAGGATGCTCCAGAAAAGGGCAGGGCTTTTCTTTCTTCTCTTTCTTCAAAGACCATCAAAAAGGGACTCTCGTAGCTCTCACCAGGTGTCTTCCGAACCCCACAGCTAAGAGCATCCTGAGGTCTGACGGGCGAATTCAAGTATGTGGCACCTGCTGTCCCTCTCACAAGGTGGCCGCAGATGTCACTTCTATTGCCAGGGTGAGACCAGGGAGGGACTGGGGTTCCAGGGAGGGCTCGCCCCCTCCTGCCCTAGCACGTTCTGTCCTTGCTGTCCCTCCACCGTGTGCATGTCCGCATATGCCCCCTGAAAGAGGTGCCTGGTAACATCTAATGACACAGCGTAAGGAACAGGCTGTCCGAGCCTCAGGTAGCCAGCCAGTCCCAAGACCTCTGGGGATGGGAGGTGGAGTCACGCAGATACTGGAATGCTTGCTGCCTCCGTCTGTACCTCGGACGCAGGCTGCAGCTGTGCCTGACTGTACCAAACAGCCCTGGTCCCCAAGAGCCTCGTGGGGCTGTGAACCCACCCACTGGGGACTCGGAACCGCCTGCTCTTCATCTTTGGTTGGCCCTCCAGGGACAATCACTTCAGCTTCAAACTCCCCTCCTCACAGCACCCCGTCACAGAGTCAATGGCCCAAACTCAGCACTGAATCTGTGGCCAGCTCCCCTGTGTCACAGAAGGACACAGCCCTCAGAGTGGGACGTTTCATGAAGCAGAGCAGTGTCAGTAACAAGGGACTAAACTGGCTAGACGATGGGCCTGAGCATTCGCAAGCAGCCTGGGCCTCCCTCACAAAAGACGCCTTGCAAGATACAGAAGAAACTGGTCACCAAAGCTCGTGGGAATTCACTGGGTAATTTACTTGTTGCATCAAACCCAGCAATGGCCAATGGGCAAGGCTCGAGCCAGGGGCTTTCACAGGGTACAGAGAAATGCATAACAGGCCTTTTCCTCAAGCCAACAAGGAAGATAAAGCAGGCACAGGAGAAATGAGCAAACCTAAGCAGCCCTTGCTGGGTCACCTGGGAGAGGGGCGGGACAGGAGGCGATGGCTCCGCCAGGCTGGGGCTCCCTCTGCTGCGGAGCTGGACCCTGAGGACCCTGGAAGGACGGGAGCCCTGAACGGTGGGCAACGTTCCGGGAGGATGAAACAGCCTGCGCCGACGGGTAGAGGCGGCAGCCCCCCAAACATGCCTGGGAATGGGGCACCCGGCTTGCCAGGCATCAGGTGCCCGAGGAAGGCAGCAGGCCAGGACTGGAAGGGAGCGCCGCAGGAGGCTCTGATGTGCCCATGCCTCCAGCAGGCTCTGTGGCATATACAGGGCAGGGGCAGGCCCACCTGGTGGGGAGGCTTGCGGACTGCAGCGAAGTGAGTAGAGGGACCAGCCAGGTCTGGGGGTGCAAGGGGGCCCTCTGGCGATGAAGCCTGGGTCAGTGGTCCCGACAGGCTTTGCTCATACCCCACAGGCTTCCCTGAGGTACCATGCTGGACCAGCCAGAAACCCTGTGGGTCCTGAGGTCTGACTCAGGGACATCCAGCACCTACCCTGCCCGGAGATGTGCAAGCGGGGGCATGGCCTCTCGGCCACCAAAGGTGCAGGCATACACACCTATGCACACCTCATCACAGACACAGGGCAGTTCACCCGCCCCAAAACCAGGCCCTGCCACCCTCTTCACACACACATTATATTCACAAGTGCACCGGGTACACAATGCACATGTGTGTGCAAGCACATGCACACATA